GAGTCCCAAGAGCGAGGGAAGCAAGCAGAGGCTGTACCCCCGTTGTGGCCTCGGAGATCACATTGCATCAGTTCTGCCGTGTCCTATGGGTTGGCTCGGTGCAAGCCCGCACCCGCTTTCGAGAGGTGGGAACATGGACCGCCGAGCCTCAGTGGAAAGAGTGTCAATCATGCTGAAGAGGAGCAGACGGGAAGCACATGTAGGATGGAAGAGAGAGATGGGTGCCATCCTGGGAAAGTAAAATCTGCCACAAGCTAAATGATAATCGCTGTTGTCGCCTGCTGAGCGCTGACTATGTGCAGCTACCGCACCACGGCCTTGCTTATGAATTCTGCCAATGTCCTTGTGAGCCACGTACCATTTCAGACAAGGAAACAGGCCCATAGGAGTTAAAGCTCTTGTCTAGGGTTGCATAAGAGGTGAGCGGTACAGCTGGAATTTGAACATAGCTTTGTCTCATGCAGGGCGACAGACTCAGAAGGGAATGCAAACAGATTACTGTACAGATTAAATGATTAAATGAGTTAAAATATGTAAAGTGCTAAAAACAGTGCCTGGCACAAAGTGAGTACAGTATAGTGCCATTATTATTATTATTATTATTATTATTATTATTAATTCCATTTAAGCCACTGGATTGAAACTTCTGCCCTAATACTAAGTAGTTACTGTCCTTTTAATCTCTTAGCTCCCTCCAGAACAAGGGGGCCAGTCCAGGGGTCCTGGCTGCGATATACCCTGGTCCCAACCGCCTCCACCCAGGCTTTGGGGAGCCGACCACGGTTTCTATGATGTCAGCTGGACTGAGTCCCCAGGAGTGGTTTTTCGGGACTGAGAACTGTGTCCTCCTGTACCGGCTGTGAATGTCCAGAGCATTCCCCGCAGGGCCTCACCCTCCACCCGAGGTTGTCTGACACTAACCTGGCTGGAACCTTTGATGAAGCCGGCTCTCGGGCTGCCTCAAGGTCAGGTACGCGATCTGAAAGGACGTGAGGGAAAGTTTCATCACAGCCAGCAAAGGGTCCATTGGGAAATAACTTGGCCTAAGGGCTTACGGGAAGTATGGCAGCGTGTGACCCACATAGCAAGGGGCGCTGCCCCTCTTTCTGGTCCACATCACTATCTTTTAATGAAAAGCATTTACATTTTATTTATTTTTTATTTGTTTATTTAGAGAGAGAGACAGCACGAATGGGGAGAGGGCCAGAGAAGGAGAGAGAGAGAGAGAGAGAGAGAGAGAGACTTAAGCAGTCTCCATGCTCCATGCAGAGCCCAAAGTAGGCTTCGAGCCCATGACCCTCAGATCATGACCTTAGCAGAAATCAAGAGCGGGACATTCAACTGACTGAGTCACCCAGGCGCCCCAAACCATTTAAATTTTAAGTGAAAAGGATGCTCATTAGAATGGCCGTAATAACAATAAAAAAAAAAAAAAAACTTGGTTAATAATAAGTGTTGGCAAAGATGTGGCAAATTTAGAACCCTCCTCCATTCTTCATGAGAACTGTAAAAGTATGGACTCTTGGGGAAATGGTCCAGTAATTCTTCAAAAGGTTAAATATAGAGTTAACAAGTGACTCAGCAATTCTACTCCTAGGTGTGGACCCAAGGGAATGGAAAACATGCCCGTACAAAAATACATACAGGAATGTTCGCAGCTGCAATTACTCGTAAGAGCCAAAAAACGGAAACAACTCAAATGCCCACCAGCTGATGACTGGATAAATAAAATGTGGTTATTCATACCATGGAATATTATTTGCTCATAAAAAGGAGTAAAGCACTGATCCGACACACTAAGTCAAAGAAGGCAAACACAAAGGACCATGTATTGTATGAATCCATTTACGTGAATTGTCCAGAACAGGCAAATCTCTCCAGATAGAAAGTAGATTCATGGGACATTGGGGTGACTGTTAATGGGTATGGGGTTTCTTTTGGGGGTGATGAAATTCTCTGCAATTGACTGTAGTCACGAGTGCATGTGTGAGTATACTAAACACCATTGAACTGAGCACTTTGGTTGGGGGAGCTGTATGCTATTAAGTTGTTATTTTAAAAATGAGGGGCTCCTGGGTGGCTCAGTCAGTTGAGTGTCTGACTTCGGCTTAGGTCATGACCTCACAGTCTGTGAGTTCGAGCCCTCTTTGCTGACAGCTCAGAGCCTGGAGCCTGCTTCAGATTCTGTGTCTCCCTCTCTCTCTGCCCCTCCCCCGCTCACACTCTGTGTGTGTCTCTCTCTCAAAAATAAATAAACATTTAAAAATTTTTTAAAAATTAAAAAAAAATGAGAACAGAACCTGCCCCTTTGCCTAAATCCCTACAGTGGCTGCCTTGTCATCTCAGCGCAGGTTTACCAGCCTTCTAGGCTTTCTAGACCCCTTGTCTAGCTGCTGGCCATCCTTCTGACCACACCTCTGCATCTGGGTTCTGGATCATTCTAAGTCACATGGTTTATTCCTGCCTCGGAGCCATGACACTCGGCTTTTCCTTCTTCCTGGAATGCTCTCATTTCGCTCCAGTAAATATGGTGCCGATTGTGATTACTGAATTGTACAAGAGATGAATGTTTCTAAGATACTGATGTATTGTTTTCCAAAGTGGTCAGATAAGTGATCATGTCCCATAGGCATCTGCGAGACTTCCGGTTGCCTAGAGTCCTGCCCACACTTCATGTTAGCATCTGTTTAACTTTGCTATTCCAGTGGGTTTATATCACACTGAGCTTCCAGTTTGTATTTCCCTGATGACTTGTAATGCCGAGTGTCTTTGTATGTGCTGAACGGCTACCTGGCTATTTGTATGTCTTTCTTTCTTCTTCTTTTTTGTTTTTTTTGGTGATATGTCTTCAAATATCTTGCCTATTTTGAAGTTGGTCTGTTTGAGTTCGGATTGTTGAGTTGTAATAGATTTTAGAATAGAGGTACACGTTCTTTGTCAGATACAGTTTTGAAAATATTTTTCCCAGATTATATGAAATTTATATTTCAAATGCTCATCTTAGGAAAGGGGAAAGGTATACAATAAATGATTTCTAGCTTAAGAAGCTAGAAAAAAAAAAGAGAGAGAGAGAGAGAGAGAGAGAGGAGAGACGAGCCCAAACTAAGTAGAAAGGAGGAAATAATAAAATGAGAAGAGAAGGGCTTCCACTTCTGGGGAGACAGTGTAGACCTAGTTCTTTCTATCCCTCCTGCTGCTTACAGTGGGAACCCTGTAGAGCACACATGAGACAAACAAGAATACTTTAGAGAGTGGAGAGATGAAGGCAGGGACTTGGGACCCCAGGAACCACCTGGCGGTGGGTTTTCTTTTTGGCGACTCTGTCTCAGACTTGGAAGAAGCAGGCAACTTGGCAACACCAGCAGAAGCTGCTAAGCCCTGATGGAAGCTGCACTCTGTGGCCAAAGGTCCAGGAAAGATCAGCCAAGTGAGACCATTTTTAGACAAAACGGACTCTACTCCAGCTGCACACCATGGAAAAAAATGTGACCTCGCTCCCGGCAGCATAGGCTGAGCGAGGAGCCCTGACTTCCATCCTCATCAGGCTACTGTGTGCCCGCTTCCTTCCCAGGGTGGTGTCAGGGGCAGTGGAGGAGGGGGCTGGGACTTTTGTGCTCCCGGGCTAGTAAGTAAGGACCCTCCTCTCCGGGTACCCTATAGCCGTGTTTGCTGGTTTTGTTGAAAGGACGGAAAGAGAAGCGATAGCCGGGGAGGAAATACCTGCAAGACACGTATGGTCCCTAGCATATATAAATCACTCTCGAACCTTCATAGCTTAAGGCAAACAGTCCAGTTAGATCGGGAGCCAGCAGCGGGAAAAGAGGATTTCTCAAAGAGGGCGTGCAAGTTTAAAAAATAAGCACAGGAAAAGATGTTAAACCTCTTCAATCACGAGGAAAACACAAGCTAAAACCACCACGAGATATGGCGACACCTCTATCAAAATGGCTAAAATACAAAACAGGGACCACACCAAATGCTGGCAAAGATGTGGAGAAAGTGGATCACTTATTGCCAGTGGAAATGTAAAATGGTGCCAACGCTCTGGAAAATAGTTTAGCAGTTTCTTTAAAAAAAAAAAAAAAAAAAAACTAAGGGGGCGCCTGGGTGGCTTAGTCGGTTAAGCGTCCGACTTTTCGCTTAGGTCATGATCTCGCGGTTTGTGGGTTCGAGCCCCGCGTTGGGCTCTGTGCTGACTGCCGGTTCAGAGCCTGGAGCCTGTTTCAGCCTGTGACTCCCTCTCTCTCTGACCCTCCCCTGCTCACACTGTCTCTCTCTCTCTCCTAGAAATAAATAAAAATATTAAAAAAAATTTAAAAAAAATAAAAAAAAAAAAAACAACTAAGGATTCAGCTACCATATCACTCAGCAGTTGCACTCCTGCGCCTTTATCCGGGAGGAAGAAAGAGATTCCTCCAAGCTCCCATCTACAGATGGGTCACCCACCCTGGGAGAGAGTAGAAAGTAAATCCACAGCAGGTTGATCAACAGGTGCGCGCTCGCTCTGTGCTGGGCATTGAGCTAAGCATCAGAGGGTCATCTCACTTAACCTTCCCCACGGACCTCTTGTTTGGTGGAGACCATGATCATCATCGCCCCCACTTTCTGGATGAGTAAACTGAGGCTCCAAGGCCGCTGCTCAAGGCCAGACAGCTAGAATGTGCAGAGCGAGGAGGATTCGAACCCAGGGGAATGAGACCAAGCGCTTTATTCCTCACATGGTCATTACCGCCTGGTCGTATAGAAAGAGAAGCGAGGAAAGGTTCGGTGGCCGCAGGTTAGACCCGAGGTCGCCCTGCCTCGAGGGCTGGAGTCCGCCTGCCAGGTCTGGCGCCTAACTGCCCTTGAATTTGCCGGGCCTCCCGCCCCCAGTGCCGGGGGGCGCAGGCACCACCCCGCCGGAGCGGGGGCAGGGCGGGCCCCCGGCGCAGTCCCCTCCCCGGGCCCTCCCCCGGGCTTTAAGCCGGCGCGGGGGAGCGCGGCGCGGGCAGTCCCGGGCCGGCTGTGTCTCCGCCCGGCGATCGCGCAGATGGCGGCGCTGGCGACCGTGGCCAAGAAGGTGTGGAGCGCGCGGCGGCTGCTGGTGCTGCTCTTCGCGCCGCTCGCGCTGCTGCCGGTGGTCTTCGCCCTCCCGCCCCAGGTAACGCCGCGTCCGCAGGGGCCCCGCCGAGGGCCCAGCCGCGCCGGTTCCACCAGCTCGCCCCCATCGACCCTTCCCCGCCCCCCCTCCCCACCCCCGGGCCCTGCCTCCAGCCCTTTCCCTGCCGCTTCTTGGGGTCCGGCGCAGCCTTCGGGATGGTCTCCCTTCCACGGGAGCGAGTTCTCTGCTGGGCTCTGTGTTGGGGCGAACGTTCCCCTCGTTGATCACAATGAGCTGTGAAGGAACGCCGAGCCGTAGGGCCTGGGGCCAGTCACTTCCCTCCTCTGGGCCTCGCTGTACTTCTTGCGGCATACGTTAAAGAGCGCCATCTATGTAAACCTCTCCGCGCTGAGCCTGGGACGCAGCAAGTGCCCCCGACCACCCGCGGGTCATCCCAGGCCCCTCACCTGATGGGAGCAGCCAAGGTGTGAAGGGCCCTGTGCCGGGGCCAGGCGCGGTGCTAAGCCTTAAGCGCGTCATTTTATGTAATCCTTTTCGGTGACCCCCCCCCCCCCGATCCTTTTGGTGACCCTAGGAGGGTGACGATTATTTATGTTATTTTCTAGAGAAGGAAAGCGAGGTCAGATCAAGTGACTTGCTCAGAATCACACAGCAAGCCGCTGGGCAGGGATCCATTCCCGGGCTTGTCAGAAGCCACAGCTCTCAAAGAAAGTAAGCCTTCGACCAAAGGCTGCGGGTGGAGGTCAGGAATGTCACGAGGAAAGTCGACACCAGTGGGGGCTGGGTGAAGACGGTGTGGCAGGTCCCTGTTGCGTCTGTCACTGGTACCCAGCCCTTGTGGGGCATCATGGGAAGGCATAGGACAAGGCTCCTACCTCCATTCTAGAAGTTGCTTCACTGTCTCTCAATGTGATGTTAAATGTTCATAAAAAAAAATAAATAAATAAAAGCAGAGAGAGTGTGATTTAGTTCTACATTACCTAGCACCCCCCGGCAGAGGCCAGAGGAGCTGGGAGAGGTATTCAGAGAGGGCTGCCTGGAGGAAGGGGCCCTCCTTGGGCACAGGGAGAGAGGAGGTGATACCAGCTGGTGCCGAAGAGACCCAGAGCTAATGTACAAACAAGTTCTTTAGTGTGGAATTACCTCAACTCTTAGACTTTTTGGACACGGAAGAAAGAAAAGCAACGAATGCCGGAATAAGGATGAGGTCACTTTCAAAAACCATCCCATTCCCAGCCAGGTGCCGACCTCAGGACCTCGGACCAACTTCCTTTCTTCTTGGGGGTCTCACTTTCCTAGTCTGTAAAACGGGGCCATCAGGGTGCTGGCTTCTGAGAATTGATGTGAAAGGTTGAGCGAGGAGGTTGCCTCACTTGATGGAGCCTTCTCAGGGGAACGTGGCTGGGTCTGTGATGTCCCCAGCGGAGCCGCAGGGAAGAAAAGACAAAACACACAGGGTCAGGGGGCTCTGCAATCTTCTCTCTGCTCTGCCCTCTAGCAATATCTGTGAGCTCCGGGGCAGATTCAAAGGTTGTGGGGCCAGAAGCAAACAGTATTTGACAAGTGCCTTTTAAGAAAAACTACACAGGTAGCAACACGGATGGACCTTGAGGGTGTTATGCTGAGCGAAATAAGTCAGGCAGAGAGGGACAGATACCATATGTTTGCACGTATAGGTGGATTAGGAGAAACTTAACGGAGGACCGTGGGGGAGAAGAAGGGGGGAAACAGAGGGGGAGAAGGAGGGAGGCAAACCATGAGAGACTCTTGAGTGCCGAGAACAAACTGAGGACTGCTGGGTATAGGGGGGAGGGGAAGGGGGGTGATGGGCATGGAGGAGGGCACTTGTGGGCATGAGCACTGGGTGTTATATGGAAACCAACTTGACAATAAACTATTAAAAAAGAAGAAAAGAAAAATGACACAGATTTACACAAAGAGAATTCAGTATACGGCTTGGGGGGGGGGGGCTCTAAACCTTAAACTTCATAAGCTTCATGGTGAATGTGCTTCCCTGTGAATCCTCACGTGCCCAGGGGGAGAGCGTTCCCTGTAGCCTTCTGCAGGGTGGTAAGCCTGATAAGGAAGGTGTTTTATTGAATGCTTAGTTCTTAGTACGAGCCAAGCACCGTGTCAAGGGCTTCTCAGGGATCGTCCTCTGTAAATGCACACACCTGGGGAAACACCTACTTTTAGCATCCCTACTGATCAGTTGAGGGAATGGACGTCCGCAAGGTTAGGTGACCTGCCCAAGGTCACACAGCCTGTATAGAGCCAGGGGAGCTGGGAGAGGTATTCCGAGAGGGCTGCCTGGAGGAAGGGGCAGTCATCATTGCACTGTATACTCTTTCCTCAGTTAAAATTGAACAAGAACCTTTCCTGTTCCCTGCAGATCCTGGCGGGGATGCTTTGGGTGACCCTAGATGTCACTGCCTCTTTAAGTGGCTGATAAATGAAGGCCTCCTCCCAGGAGGCAGGTCTGGCTTTTGGGGGGATCTTAGCCTCCCTCAAAAATTTGTATCAGCATACTCAAAGCCTCACCCCAGATAATGATATATATATCATTATTTTATTCTTGGGTAGTTGGATACTGGTAACTGACATGCTTCTAAGTCTGCTGTGCCAAGCGAATTACAGCATCCTTAGAGAACATTGAACAGACAACATTGCTGATTTTATTGATCTGGGACAGACATTTAAAGCAAAGAGTGGGTGTGCTATGCAAACACGGCTTCCAGACAATTTCTGTAGTAATCTTAACCAGTTTCAACCCTGGGCTAACTTCCCCAAACAAAGCTTTGGCAGGGGGTTGGCGGGGAAGGCTAACAAAAACTTTATGTTTGCTGTGCAAATGCGGCTTGGAGGCAAGTATCCTGAGTGTCCTCTCCCACCCCCAACGTCACATCATCACTTCTAAGCCTCTCCCCATAGAAATTCTGGAACCGGGGCGCCTGGGCGGCTCAGTCGGTTGAACGTCCGACTTTGGCTCGGGTCATGATGTTGCAATTTGTGGGTTCGAGCCCCGTGTCGGGCTCTGTGCTGACAGCCCAGAGCCTGGAGCCTGTTTCAGTTTCTGTGTCTCCCCTTCTCTCGGCCCCTCCCCTGCTCATGCTCAGTCTCTCTGTTTCTCAATAATACACATTAAAAAAATTTTTTTTTAAATTCTGGGACCACCACCAGGGCAGGGTATGTTGTATGTATGGGTTCCCCAAGCTTTGCAGAGATCAGATCAGGAAAAACAATGGCGATGCTTGGCATTTGCCGTTTGCCCGTCTTTGGGTGTTGATGGTGTCTCCCGGCCACCACTCCTCTGATGTTCTCGGAGTCTGTGGCGGGCAGCGTTGGCCCTCAGGCACCTGTCCCCTGGCTGCTGGTGAGCCTGTCTGCGGGGAGGTCAGGGTTAATCTGAAGAGTGGACAGGAGGGGGGAACAATTCCCCCATTATGTCCTCCCGGCTTGGGAACGGAATGCTACCAGCAGGGATGAACGGAGTGGGATGCCCTTCTGGAATGCGGTGGTTGCAATTCCCAGTTCCACCAGAGAGCAAGTCTGCCCCTTGCTACGAGAGAGCGCCGGAGACTTAGGAAGTCAGGATGCTGCTGGAGGGACCGCCTCGACATCTTCCAGGAGTGGCCGTTCCGGGACGGGGAAGTTTAGGGACTGGCCTTGGGCAGCTGGTGGGGATGGATGAGGCTGTCAGAGCGGCTTGTGAGTGAGAGCTAGCTCCATTTGCTTGCAGGGGAGTCTTGCCCCCTTTCCTACCTTACACCCGCACCCGCTGAAAGCAAACGTAGCCAGACTGAGCAGGTGGCGGGATGAGCTCTTGCAGTGGGTACTCACATGTGACTCTTTCTAACAATGCTTTGAAGAGGAGGGGTTTGGGGATATTCTAGGCAGCGCTGCTACAAGGCGTTGCACAGGCTGTGCACTGCAAAAGAGGCCTTGAGTTGACAGTGAGATTGGACCAACCTGCATTCTACCTGCCAAACTATGTATCCTGGTGCAGTGCTAGATCTGCCTGAGGAAGAACCTCCCCCACCCTCCCCACTCCCCTGCCGCCATCCTAATTTGCACAAAGGTATCAAGTCTGGCCAGCAGCAGACTTGTTCTGGGGTGCTGGATCTCTTTAGGGGATGGTAGTGCACCCCTAAGGTCAGAGGCCCTTTGGCATTTTCCTAATTCTTGTGGGTGGACTTTAGGTGGGTGATGACGAAAATGGTCATTTCGTTCCCAGTTTTGAGTCCTTGGAATCAGAACTGGAATTCTCATTCCACATATTTGCTCTGTGACCCTGGGCAAGTCATTTTACTTCTCTGGGCTTCAGTTTCTTCACTGAGAGTGTGGCCACAAGATCACCTTCCACCCTGGTTATTTTTTGGGCCCAGTGAAATCATATATTGTGGCTGTGCCTTAACTTTCTACTTGTAAATTCAGTGCGCAAGGTAGGTCTCCCTCCCTCATGCTTTAGCTGAAGAAACAGAGACCCAGAGAAGTCAAATGAGGGGTAGAGCACCAGCCTAACGACCAAGAAGACCTGTGATTGGGTCCTGGCTCTGAAACTCTGAGACCAGAGGCTTTGTATCTCCGAGCCGTGGTTTCGTCACTTGTGAAGTGAGGACTCACACCCTTCCAAGGGCTTTACAAGGCTTAATTAAGAGAATATACAGAAATTGTCCTGTGCACCACGAAACGTAGTATGTTTATCATAACTGTCAAAATGTTTCCCCATTTATCCTATGCTGACTTACACGCCTTTCAAATTTTTTTATTTGATATATATATCAAGTTTATTTACTCTTCGTATCACCTTAAGAAGAGGAAACAATGATTATCCCCATTAGTACAGAGGAGGAAAACAAAGCACAGAGAAGTTAGGTCATGTTCCTGAGGTCACACAGCTACTAAACATTATTTTGGTCACTTGTGTTGGTCCTGGGTTTTGGAAGATAGGTTGGCTGGGGTTCTTAAAGACCCCGAGTCGTCCCTTAAGAGAGGCTTCCCAGAAACTTCCACGGAGTCAGCACTGTGGGTCGATGAAC